AATTCATCCAAATTACTCCTTTTACACAAACTTCTTGCAGTTACTGAGTTCACTGTTTGGGTTCATTGTACAGTTTTGAATATAATATAAAATATCCATAAAATATGTCACTTTATAAGAGTCGTCAGTGTACTCAATAATAGAAAAGGGGTCCCTTAAAGCAAAATGTTGGGAACCACTGGCATAGAGCAGACGTACAGCTATAAATCAGTATTTCTGTCAGCTTTGCCCCAAATTCAACCCTAAAGTGGAGCAATCCTCTGCAGCCACAGTCTCAATCTCTGGAATACCGTCGCCCAAGACGTCTGCAGGCAGATTCACATTTCTGTCTGTAAAACCAGCGAATCCTCCGCTGCAGGACAGTAAAAGAGAGACTCAGACCGGCCAAAGAATTACAGAAGGTATTTGTTTTCCTTCCAGCAGCAACAAAAATGAAATGAATTCCTGCTCTCCACCTGCAGGAGTCTATTCATCCATTCCATGGTGCACCTGTTCAGCCTCCAGCTGCTAACCAATCACATCAGAGGAAAGCAAAGCTGTGCTGGTTCTACAGAACTGTGTCAGTCAGAAACCACAGAGACACAGAAACACATTGTTGGTTTTCACGAGGTTTCTTGACAAGAAGAGAAATACAGAATGAACCCCTTCAGTAAAGTTTACCAGATGTCAGACTTGGAGTCGTAGCCCTGGTGGTTCAGCACCTCTGGACTCATGTAGTACGGCGTCCCTGTGAAGGTGGTGGCCAGATCACATGATCCCATCAGCAGGCAGGAAACACCAAAGTCACCTGAAAACAGACAAGGAACAACAGCCTCAGGGAAGGTCATGGAGGGTGGAGACGGGATCATTTAACAGAGACCTGACAGGTTGTTGTTGTTAAGATATTTACCACAAGCAGTGGTGGAAAGTACTGTACTTAAGACCTAAAAGGGAGGCCGGTTTTAGCACCATCATGTTTAAATCAATCTAAAATAATAATATCTAGAGCATTCATTCTTTTTGCAGCAGAAAGCTAAGGCTTCCATGTTTACCATCATAATGCTGTGCACTCCAGCCAGTAAAAATTAGCATATCTTCAAAACTAAAACATTTACGTAGTTCAAATAATGTCCAAAAATATTTTGTTCATGTTTCTATTTAAAAATCTTTCAATAAAAAATATGAGAAAATGTAAATCATCAAGATACTCAAAGAAACATCACAATAAGCAAATAGCCTGTCTGTCTGTACAGATGAGGAAAATACACTCCGAGAATACAGTTCATTCAGACATTTCTTTCTTGATGCAATGCAGAGCTATTTAATTGGCAATAATATGCATTTGATTGATTGAATAATTTTAATGTACTTGAAAGTGTACACTGAATTTTATCAAGGAAAAAAAATCAAGATACTAAATGACTCAGATCAGATAAAGGGATATAAATCTTGATCAGGACATGGGTAGCGATAAGGTTGTTCCATTTCGAAGGCTCCTTCAAATGCGGCCTTTGCCTGAACTTGCAGGATCCACTGCTACGCTGATGATAACAAATTTACTTCTCCTTCAAGCCAGATAATGTTAGCTGTCTGAGCAATTTAATGGAGTGATTAACTGCTACTGAGAAATGGATGACCTCTAACTTTCTTAAGATAAACTCAAACAAGACAGATCACCTAGCAAGCAAACTACAACTGTTTATTGGTCCACTGGCAACCGATATAAAACATCTAAATAACCCTTACTCTAAACCTTTAGCCAGAAATCTAGGAATCACATGTCATTAACTGTTTACATGCCTAGGTAAATTCTCAGTGGCTCAGCTTCAGCTTGTGCAGAACGCAGCAGCTCGAATTTTAACCAACACCAATCGTAGGTCACATATTCCTCAAATTCTCCAAAAAGACATGGTCTAGCCCCCAGCTACATTATAGAACTCTTAACTTCCTGCGCTGTGTCGTAACGTTAGATCCTCATGCCTTCCTTCATTAACTGTCCCTAGGTCAAGGCTGGTCACTATTATCATGTCGATCCTCCTCGGCCCAACTAATCCTTGATTAAGATTCAGTGCGCCCCAGCGTCCCCAAGCCTTACTGCAGCAGTAACCAGGAGTACACTTTTAAAGGTATATCCCAGGAGCCACGTGAAGCCTTCAGGATGTTGTCTGCTACTTTTTTCCCACAGTTATGTCCTGCTTGCCCAATACTTTCGACGATCACAAGAGGATAATGAGCCTTCCCAATTTGGGGCTCTCAGGGGTCCTAAAACCCCTTTTTAAATGCAAATATTATATTTGCATAATGATTAGCTGGAGGCACGTTTCTATTTAGGATCCTGTTTTTAAAAGTTTTGAGTGAGAGAGTTGAAAGCAACATGAGAGAAACAAACCCACATCCAACACACAAACACACAGTAAGATTCCCCATGTCCCATGAGCCTTTGCAGCAGAGTAGGAAACTCACCGATTTTAACAAGGTTTCGTTTCAGGAAGACGTTCTTGGCCTTCAGATCTCTGTGGAGGATTCGCCTGCAGGGAGTGGCGCAGCAGTCAAAGAAACGGGACAAAAAGACATTAACATCAACAATTGTTTATTGATCGATTCATTTAATTACTGTTTGAATGACGGATACTGTGATGTGTGAAGCTACAGAACCTGTACGTCAGCTTCCAGTTCACTACCTCTATGTACTCACCAACCTTTGACCTCCAGCCAAATGCTGCGAGGTAGCTAATGAAGCTATTTAACATAATTATCCTGAAAATGTAGAATATGCAGAAAGGAAAGAAAAAAAAACATTGCACTTGGGGAGGAAAGGGGAGAAATCCAGGTTACCATGGCGACAGTAACCCCACCTGTCATGCATGTAGTGAAGGCCGAGCAGCAGCTGGATGAGCCAATCGATGACCTGGAGTTCGGGGAGGCTCCGCCCAGCTTGTCGCACCTCCTCTAGCCTACAGTCCAGATCCCGATCCTGACAGAGAGAGAGAGGGGAGAAAGAGAGAGAGTGAACACAATAACTGCAAGAAGTTTGTGTAAAACAAGGAATTTGGATAAATTTTGAGCAGATTATTTCCTGTGAATGTTGATCAGAGATGAGTTTTCCTGATATTTTGATACATTCTCCGTCTGTATTCAAGACTGTTGATCTGAGACTGAAGCTCTGTCACTGTACACTGCAACCAGCCCTTATCCTGTTTATATCTTAAATAATAATCTAAACTTTAAAAATAACTATTTAATTTAGATCTAGATAAATGAACAAAATGCTGAGACAAAGGCCCACTGTGTATTTAAATAAAGTTCTATTACACTAAAATCAGAAGACCTGTTTACACAGACAGCAGGTCGAACCCGCTTACCCCTGCCATTGTAACAGTGTATGGGCAGCTTTACCTCCTAAACACACACAGTTTTTTCACGTCCAACTGTTGTGATTTTAAAATTATTGTGTGGCACTTTAAATAGCCAGCATCAGCTATACATGATGTCAAGTGTTTCTAAT